AATACATATCCTCAAAACGATATGTGTAAATCATTAAAGCTAATCTTGGATCGAACCATGGCAAGCAAGGCTTGATTCCTCCTTTCTAACATATTTTAATTGTTGTGTTCCTTTGATTGTGAAATAATTCCACAACTTCTAGATGATCAATATAGTTTTGAGTTAATATATATCACAATGATCATATTGTAGTGCTTTAATTGTTTATTCCAAACTGATTTTGTATTTCATTCTGGAATTCCTTGAACTTTTCAATGATTCTAACTTTCGCTTCATTAAGTAAATATACCCATATTTACTTAAATCGTTAGTAAAAGCAATGAAACATTTAAATCTAAATCTAGCTTTGTACTTATTGGTCCACACACATCCATATGTATGAGTTCCAAAAGGTCATTTTCTCCTTCACCCTTTCAACCAAAAGGTTACTTGGTCATCTTACCTTATCAAGCATGACTTGTAGTTCTCAAGTGATTCATAATCAAATGAGGATTAGTAGTCCATCCAATTGTAACTTTGGATGTGCTATTGGTTTTTAGTGACCTAACCTTACTATGTTATAAGTAGGTTTGTTTTGAATCATCTATTTTGCTTTTGTGATCTACTTATATCAATGTCATAGAACAAAATTAACTCATAGCTAGCAAAATGAAAACAATTTATTACCTTGGTCATGGATCAACACTTGTCCATGCCAAGTAAAACCAAATCAGAATTTCAACAAAAACTGAAAAATTGTCTCATCAAAAACCAGAAATAAGTCTAAAATCATCATAAACTGATCAGAAATTAAAACTATGAAGCTATTCCTGGCCACTTGAACACTTCTCGTGCACCCTTAAACTCCATTTCCACACTAGCCTCACTTCTTTGCAGTTTTTGCACAACATGAATAATGTTATCACTGCAACTTGGTATCACATACCTAAGTGAAAGTTAAAATGTTTATAACAAGAATATTAGGTAACTCTTACCTCACACTTCATCGTGGTGGGGACATCCCTGTTGAAGCACTGGCTCATTCTCCTTTCATGTAATTCTCTACATGATTTTTAAGTAATTCAATAAACTTGATTGCTGAATCATCATCATCATGTGATAGTTTTTCAAGGTCAAAACCATCATGCTGTGAAAGCAGAATTATATCATGAACCTCATGATCCTGGAATGGTTTCCCTAACATACTCATTGTTGTATGGGTGCCTCAGTTTCTCCATATTTTGAATAAGGCCGATCATTTTGAAGACATGATCATGAACTGTTGCACCCTGCTCCATCTTACAGTCCAAAATCTCTCGATGGAGCTCGTACCTCTCAACTCATGCCTGTTTTTTAAACAAGGCTTTGAGTTCTTGCATGATAGTGTATGCATCCTGATCTTTAAAACGCTTTTGAAGGCCAGGCTCCATAGTAGCAATCATCAAGCAAGTGATTGGCACAACTCTATCAAGAGTCCCCTTATACGTAGCCTCTGAGCTTCAGTTGCGTTTTCTGGTAAAGGTGCAGGCAATGGGGTGTCAATGACATCTTCTCTACCTTCAGATTCAAAACAAGTCTCAGCATTCTTTCATAGTTGGAAAAGTTATCCCCTGTCAACCTATCCTTCTGAAGGAATGGTTGAATATTGTAAATATTGTTGTCATTATTGTTACGGCTACCCATCTTTGACAGAATAAGGCAAAGTTTAATAATTATGTTTAATAAAATTAAAGTACCGTATAAGAATTAAATAGGTTACTTTAAAGCATTTTATTCAATATTATATTATACCAATTGAATTAAGTGATTCCAAGATCCTTTATTTATGTAATAGTTGACCGGACTGAGGCCTTACCATCAAGCATTACATTTTCAAGGTGAGTAAACTCTTTACTGATAACAACTCTTATAACTATTGGTTGAATAATTAACCATCACATGTTTAATTATTACCCTTTGCTTCAAGGTTCTAAACGCTTTAGGTAACCTTGTTGAACATAACCAATTAAATGCGTAGAACGTGATCTACCCAAATTACCTAAGATAACAAGTGACACCCTGCGGAGGCTAACCCATCACTTACGATCGAAGGGTTTTTGGGTATCTAATTGGAAAAGCAATCTCAATATTACCGGGACCTAGATTTATTATGTTGTGATTATTTGGTGAACTCTAGCGCATCATCACAAACATCAATAAAATCTAACATGCATGATCTACTAATGCATAAATAAAACATGACATAGTATAGCCCCTTAGTCCTAAGAAAGTTAGAATTGAAAAGCTCCCACTTGAACATTCATGGATCTCCATCCACCTTGCTCCTTTGGGCCTTCACTTCATGGGCTCTTTGGACTAAATTATTAAAATAACTACATTATTTACTTTAAATAAAAGTTATAAAAATACCTAACGGTACGCAGACCGTATTTAGATTACAAAAATACGTCACGATACGCAGATCGTATTTAGAATATTTGGGCCATACTAGTCTATATATAGCAACATAATACCAAATATTATATAAAAGTGCCATATAATAAATCACTCGACATGCTTACCTAAACTACAACATTGAATGTTCATAATTAAGGCAACGCGATTCCTAAAATATCTCATATTTTTAATCATAATAAGATAATATCATATATTATTCATTGTCATCCATTGAATATCATATATTTTAAATATGGCATGAGATAGAATCAAATCTTATTTTAATATGGAAAGATAAATCATATTTATTTTTCATGATTATCCTAACAAACTTAGGAGATTCTATCCTAATTACTAGCCAATCAAATAATTTGAAAATCAATTATTTCCTAATCTAATTATGGGATAATCACATTATTTAAATCAATTATTATCCTTTTGGAATATGCTCAAAATATCCTAACAGATTTTATCAAAAATTAACCACTTTAATTATGGATAATCACCAAATTTAACAACTTTTGAAAATTTGATTTTATCCCAAAATAAAATTTGATTTTATTTTTGAAAGTATTTTTTTTAAAAACAGAAATAATTTTTTTTTTGAAAAACTGTGTTGCAGTCGCTAGCCACCGTGGATGGCTATCCGAAGCTAGCCACGGTGGCTGGCCGCGTTTGAGCAGCCACTGCCGCAAGGGCAGCAGCGAGCAGCAGCACCAGCAGCCATGGCAGCAGCGTGCAACGCTTGTACAGCTTTTGCCTGGCCACTCTTGGACCGCCTGCCCTCCCCTCTCTTCCCTCTTGGACCAGCAACGGCGGCAGCCATAGTGGCTGCGCCACCTAGCCGTAGCTGCCGCCCATAAAAACTTTTCTTTTTTTTTTATTAAAACAACATTTGTAAAAAATAAATTTAATTGATCCAATAATTAAAATTAAATCCCTATTCAATTTTAATATTATGGTTCTTTATAAAATTAACCCAATTTAATTCTAACTCTTAAAATTAAATTGATGATCATACACAAAATATTTTTATACATGAATCAATACTAATTAAAATTATGATACATAAAACTATTTGAAGTAATTCAAAAACAAGCACAAAAATCAAAATTTAGGGCTATAAATTTTTGAAAAAAAAAATCCGAAAATAGGGTTAGGGTGTTCGAAATTTTCAAGCAATCTAGGGCAAATTTCGGTCCTTCTATGGCTATTTTAAGCCAAATTAAATCACATTTAATCAATTCCAAGAGTTAAATCACATTTAATATAATAATTGAACCATAATTAAATTAATTTCTCCCTCTTCATTGATTATAAAATTATGAATACGGACTTCAAATAATTGTATTATTATAATCAAGCGTGCTCATGCTAGAGGCTAAGTGATACCAATGTAGGACTTTTAGGTAATATAAGTGGAATTTCATGAATCATATTCATACACACCTAATTCAGGATCACATGCATAACACACAAGAATCACATAATTATACCTTTGAAGCGTGATTCCACATAACTATTCGATCAGCAAATCAGGGAGAGAATAGAGCCCTAAGCGTGACTCCTCTACTTAGTCCACGAGATTTGATCAAGCGTCCACCAATGCTAGATTGGTCGAGTGAAGGGGAAAACTGCAATCACCACCTTTAACGGAAAACTAGCCACCACAGGAACCACCACCATCGTGTACACACCACCGGCGCACACCAAGGAGGACGAACGAGAGTGAGAGAGAGTTTGAGAGAGGTTGGCTTGTGTTTGCTAATTAGGGTTTGATGTATGATGAGTAAAACTATTCTATTCAACCCTAGGCACCTAGTCTATTATAATCATATTATAATTAGACTAGGAGCAAAGCCCAAGCCCTCTAAAACCCTCCATATGGCCGACGACCTAGGGGATGAGGCCCATCATGGGCCTCGTCCTCTTATGCTTGATGTAGGCCCTTTGTGTGACCTTATAAGATCCGTTCAATTTGGTTTTGGTCTATTTTACTGGCCCAAAGATCGTTAGTACCTCTAGTTATGATATAACGACGATCCAAATGGACGAAATTAATTATCTCCATAATTTAATCCATTATATATCTAGTAATTGCACTTGACGAATACATAAATCCTTCAATCCTTTATTCGTAGTTTAACTTATTTCCTATACTTTACTCTCTAACCGTCGAACGTTCCAACCTTAGATCTCCCTTGGGCGAAATTTGGCATAAACACTGCACACTCCGTAGTTAACTGCAATGTCACTACTCAATAGAACACTAATTTTTTAATAATTTCACAATTCATCATTTAATCATCAAAAACATATGATGTAGGATAATGCTCCCGTACACCAGCCACTTTCAGGATTGTTAGATGCTTGTAGTGCTTCAAATTATGGTCGTTACTGAAAGATTTCAAGTCAAAAAAAGCAAAAATAAGATGTTAAACACTTGTATGACGGGTTTACGAGGAGGGTATGTGATAACTCAAATGATTAAATTATGCATGGAATATCCAACCAGTAATCATTGAATAAAATAATTATGTACCAATTTCATTAAGGTAGTTAAATAAATGGGTTTGCTAGCTTAATTGGTTCATTGTTAACAAAAATCATTGATAAACTACAAAAAATTGTTGTTCACATTAACTAGACCTATTTCCTCAACTGTTGAAATAAAGAGTTGCATATAACAATTCATTCCAAGTATCCGGCAATCCGGGAAGGCACCAATGAATACAATCAGCATACGACGAAAGAAACTGTTTAGATTTGGCAGCAACCATCTTCCATGTCGAGTTGCTCCAATACACTGAAGAATGTGCATCAATTCTATAATCAGTAAGCTTGGTTATGTTCAAGTACTTCACTTGTACTTTACTCATTCCTTCGATCAAGCTCTCAATAATATTGATCAATGATTTCGGGAAAGCGTTTTCAAAGGAATCATCCTTGAATGGCTGGGTATAGTTGTAGCACCAAGGCTCACTAGTGTGTTGTCCTGAAATGCTCCTAAAGATTACATTTGTTTTATTTGGAATTACGTATTCTTCTATCCATTTTGCCCATGTTTTCATGGCCCTATCATAAGCAAGGTCTATTGACATCGTTTCCGACAGTTTTCCTTTGTATTGAAATAACTCCCACCTGTACAATGTACATTTTTGTATTTGATTAGAAAAAAAAGAGGTAATGTTTGACAAAATAATTTATTTCAAGCATCTTATTTACTATTTTCCACAAAATTCAATTCGTGTCAAAATTTAATGCCTATTTCATCTTAACACCTTATTCGCCAATATCTTCGCTAATATAAAAAACCTTAGTCCAAAGACCAGTATAATTGCAATGGTATTGGGCCGGGTGGCCTGGATCCAATGCCTTATTAAAGCACAAGGTCCAAATCTAGTGCTTGGACCATACTAGATGGCCTAGCCTAATGCAAACTTCATGCCTAAGTCAATGACTCAATGGTAGAGTGAAGGAATTCATTTTTAATTTTGGGAAGAATCTTCATGCACATGATAATCTATAATTCCAAAGATAACGGATATATTTTAATTTAATCTTACTAATTAGAGTATTTAAAAATTGTTAATAATGATATTAATAAAATAGTAATCTATTAACTATTACTAAAAAAAATATGCTGACATCATTAAGAGACACATGTTAATTTCTTATTAAAAAATTTCCCGCCTAAACTATTTTTGACATCATTCTTTTTTTTTTCTCTCTTTTTTTCCTCCTATATTCTTAAATTAATAAATAAATACATTAATTAATTAGATTATGATTACATTTTTTTTAATATAAAATTAACAATTATTTAAACATATAATAACTACTTAATTCGTGCAACGCATGGAATTAAACTAGTTAGGTTCTAAATCAAAACAAAACATTAAAAATGGTTGATTTTCTTATTCCCTCTTGCCAACTTGTGTAATTATTGTGTAACATATATATAACCAAATTCCCGTCTAATAAAACATGGGCGACCAAATTCACGTCTAATTGAACATGACATATATGATAAGTTTGATGTTGTACTAGCACGTTCACAAAATTAATATCATAAAAAATAAAAATGTTGGTTGTTAAAATACTTACGCTTTCAATTTTCTTGTGTGAGTATACCAATGACCTGAATTGAATACCATAATATCAGCTCCTTGCCATTGATGTGAATTGAGTGAAATCTTGTCCAAAACTAGAACATTTTTCCCACTTTTGTGATTTTTATCGAATTCTATTAAAAACGGGCTCCAATAAAATTCGATTACAGCATTATAATCCTGCAAATTAATGATAAAATTATATATAATGAACGTAATACTAGTAGAGAGTAGTAATTTCCTACTATATATGACTGTATGTGATAAACTGATAATGAGGCAATTCTTCTTTTAAAGATGAACTAGTTTAATTTTACCATCAGGATGTCCTAGGTCAATAAATTTTCATATATTTATATTTTTCCTCAACAATTTGACATCAAAAATTTTAATGTTCATTGGTTAAAGAATTAGCATATTTACTAGTGATTTAAAATTCAACATCCAAAAAGAAAGTGGCACGTGTTACGTAAATTTTTACTGTTCATGGCAACATTTTAATTTTGATATTACTCATATATTATATAAATAGATTTTTTACTAACAAAAAACTAAAAATTAAATGTTAGTGTAATACATTTTGTGTTAATTTTTATCCATCTATTCAAAATTTATTTTTCACAATTTTTACTAAATCATTGCATATAATTAATTAACTTAAAATTTGTGCATTGTCATTTTTGTTGTTATTCAAAACTGTTACAAGTATTGAATAATGGATCTGAGATATTAAATGTTTATGAACATTTAATTTGCACTTTTCATTGACACGTTCCTAACCTATCAATTACTCGGCTATGCTCATAATTTTTCTCTTACTTAATTTCTCCATTATAATTATTAAACAAAACCAAAGAATTAAAAGGCCGGTATCCAATAATTTGTTTTACATAGCAAACTTATTTTTTTGTACAGTATATAACTGATGTTTATAATATAATCACTGTTTTACACATACATGTGCAAAACAATGACATGAAAATGATTTCGTATTTTTGAATCTCCCAAATCCCTTCCTCATTATGAGCCACATAATATTATGTGTAGGTAAATTATGAATGTTATGGTACCTAATATTGATATTTTAAATTCCCAAATATTGTTAGATTTACTAATTTAATTTTGGTAATTATAGTATATGAAAACAATTCTTTGAAAGTGATTTATATGTGTTATAGGTTTGTGAGTGCATAAGGGAAGGAAAGATATACGGATTGAAAAGAATAAATAAGTAGAACTAAGTTAATAATAAATAAAAATGGACCCACAATTTAACGTGGATAAAAAACATGTCAAAAACTCTCCTAATGGCAAGTGCCTGAAAATTCACTATACGAAAATAAAAGATAGTACAAGAACCCTAAAATACTAACTTATGATAATAAATCTCACTACATAAAACATAACGTCACAAACAAGTAATGCAAAAGTGTATAGTGGTTTACTAAATTACGTCGATATTATACAAGGAGGGTGATATATAAGAAGACTTGTGTTTGAGTGTGGCTTCTTGTGTATGTGCTTACTTTTAATTAAATGTCTAACACCAATATTTATAATTAAAGATGCAGATTAAAGAAATATATAAAATTTTAAAGTTCTTTGGATTTTCTAGTATTCTCCACAATATTCAAGTGACTTGCATAACAAAAACTTGTAGATAAATCTAGAGAAATCATAAGTACGCAAGAAAGAACCTTGAATTATCTAGAAGCTTTTAGAACAAAGGCATGCACAAACTCTCCATTTAGATATTGGGCCAATAAAATTTGGACTACATCCTACAATTTCAAACCAAATGTGACCTAAAAGAAGGGTATAGAAAAATAACATATAATGATACATCGCATACCTTTGCCTTAAGCACCTTATAATCTGAACCATTAGCATCAACTTCAACGGTCGAAGAAGGAACAGATGTATACAAAAGGCAAGCGAGAGACTCCCACATGTTTCGATTTAGTGAATCTCCTACCATAATCAACCTCTTGTTATTAAGTCTTTCAAGCATATCTCTTCCATTAAACCTAGGAAAAAAAATAAAAAAAATAAAAAGAGGAGATATAATTATTATTCGATCATGTTAAGTTTCTCTCTTTGCATATGATAAAAATTACATTATATTGTACACTAAAATTAGGAGAGTAATTAATCTACATACTCACAATGGTATTTCGCAATCTTTAGCTTCCCATCTCCATTTCTCATACTCGAAATCGGGCCTTCCATTCTGTTGGCAGTTCATCTTTTCTTCAATAAATGGACATGTATTTGTATCATAGCAAGGCTTTTGATCGGGCTTGTAAACCCATCTACCATCAAACATGTTGCATTTTTTTTCTTGAGTTGACTTTGGTTTTTTGACCAAGGTAGCATTAAATGGTGGATTAGAGGTATATAGCATTGAATATGGATTTTGAGGCTCGGAAACAATGGTTGTTTTTGGTGTGTTTGCTACATCAAGTTTTGTGAATTCGATGACGGAGCTTCCTGCGAAGAATAGCGTTAGATCTTGGTAATTTTCATTTAGGAAAAGAAAGATGAACAAGCAACCAAATAAACTTGCTATTACACAAAGTTTCCAAGTGTAATTGATGGTGCGAATCAACTCCATTACTTTGAAACTCTTTTTCTATTGTATTATATGGGTTTTTTTGGATCTAAACCAGCTAAAATAAACTAAGTATTGGATATGTAATGTGTACATTATTTGTTTAGGGAAGATAATACATTACATGTTTGCACATTACCATTTGTATCATTGTTATATTGTATGTCTGATCCAGTGTACTTCCATTTTTTCTTCATTATTATTTTGTTTGTTTGTTTAATTGTTTGCAAGTGAACTAGTACTCAATTATACAAAGTCAAAGGAAAGACATTCTGTCGTTAAGAAAAAAACACATGCCTTTATTCGCGTAATTTTACTTTTGAAGGGTGAACTTTCGAGAACATTCTTAGTCATATTTTTACCAATTCGTATAAACTTTGTTAAAAAAAAAGAGAATAAAACATATTTTTTTACATTGTGATAGAATTTTAAGTTTTTACATTCTACTCTCCACATTACTAATTGTTTGACTCGTCCTACTTTTTATGAGTCAAATTTTATAAAGGTTACACCCGTATTTTAATTTTATTGTACAAACTTATCTTTATGTATATTTCATTCTCAAAATTATACTGCCGAGTTACAAAAAGTTTGAAGCCCACTAGTGAAATTATCAATTTAAATCGGTTTCAAAGTCAAATGAACTCAAACAAAATGGAGTCATTCATTTATATTTTGTATAAAAAAGTTATTTCTCACAACTTTTATCTTAAAAGGTCCTTATTCACAAAGTTGACCCCTTTAGAAAGTAAGAATGTAATTTCATCCGATCTTTCCCAATTTTAGAGGGTAAGAATGCAATTTCATACAAAAATAAACATGGGAAATTTGATTCACCAAGATATAGTGGGGTAATTAAATTCCTATGTTTTGTATGAATTTCTATCAGCCAAGTTATTTCAATTTCCCATAATATAAGTGTTAACCAAACAACAACTCATAAATTAACTTTCCATGAATTTGTATTTCCCCCAATACAAATGTGCAACCAAACAAGGCCTTAGTATTGCATTAAGAATTTAAGAATTTTAATAATCATGAGAACAAATCACTTCTGATCTTTAAACCAACATTAAAGACACATCACAAAGTTTAAAACACTGTTAACAAAATTCTAATAGTATTACAAATACAATAATATCTATAAAAAATACGAAGTTTATCTTTAGCAAGCCATTATTTGACATGATTCTGTGCAACAACCCCAAGTATAACAACTTCTAACTTAATTTTGTTTTAGGACTTTTAGTTTTCCATACAAGTTTTCGGTTTTTACTCGGCTGAAACAAGGTCCATGAACGATAAGTTGAACTATATATATCCCACAACAGAGATATTGCTGCAAACCAAATAGCAAAACTGGAATAGCAGCTAATAGAGCAATCGGTGCAGGAATCCATATCGAATCATTTTGAAATGTGATAAAGAATGTAGCAGTGAAAGCAACCGTCATAGTCGCGATAGATACCAATAAAGATGTGAGGCCAACCATGAGCTTGAAAGGTAGTACCTTAAGAAAGTTCTTTTCTGCATGCCGCGATGTTAAGATTGATAGAAACATTAGAATGGAAGTTGCAGAAGCAAACAATGAAACTGCATTCGATATTGCAAAGACCTTGAAGGATGTTCTATTTAGTAGCATTGGAGATCCATCTTTGTCATCATTACCACCAGGTAAGGTGAAAGCCGCTGTGAAAATTACTGTTGCAATGAGTGTTGCTACTAGAGTACATGACTCTGCTGTCTTCTTCATCCACTCTTCCCCTTTTAATCGTAGCTCGTTGTGTTTCCTTGTGTGAACAAAGCTTGGGGTGTCTTTCGCGATATGTTTTTAGCCATAGCATAATAGGGTTGGACATCATCTTTTACAGCCTAGTAAGTAGTAACATAAATCGGAGATGTTATGTCTCAACTTTCAAATGACCGGTTAACAAGCTATACAGGAGTAGTAGGTGATCAATGGGCGGGCTGGGTCGGGTTCGGGGTAGACCAAGGTAAAATAAATTTGCCCATTCAGCGGGCCGGGCCGGGCTAAACTTCGGGTCGGAGAATGTGTGCCCAAGCACGTCCAGACTAGGCGAGCCGTGCAGCCTTTTCAGGCCGGGCCCAAAAAAATCAACTAAAATTGCATTAAATTGATTTTCCAAGCCCGTTCAAATTTTTATAAAAATCGGGCCGAGCCAATTTCAGGTCAAAAAAACTGCCCAAAACCCGTCCAAAATCAGGTCGGGCTCAACTTGATCAGCTCTGGAGTACTATACATGACAGACTGACAGTAGAGCGCGATAATTAGCTTGTGTATGTAACAATTGTATATTTGCAATGAAATTGCTTGCTAATATCCATGATAATACAATAACTCTATGCGAATATATGACTTTCTACCTCTAAAGTTCAAATTTATTATTTATATACATTATTACCAGTGGTGGAGGGAAAAGGGGACAATTGTCCCCCTTTTCTTAAAAATAAAAATCAGCTTTTATTAGAAAAAAAAAAAAATCATAACGCAAAAGGTAAAAGAAACTACAAAATCAAAGCAACTAAAGAATAGGAAAACAAACAAAATTATCCTAAAGTCTGCAAACAACTTACTGTCAAAAAAAAAAAAGCCTCCAAGTTTGTTCTTTTGTCCCACTATTCAACGATACCCCACAATCCAATTTATCGAGAGTTGCGTCACACGTTTTCAACTTTCACAACTTTCTGACGATCAATTTTCACATCTTTCGGGCGACAATCAAGTATTTTTCTCCAATTTACATTAAACAAGTAAGCCCTAATTTCTAATTATTCCTCTAAACCCTAGTTTCTAATTTTTAATTGTTTAAACCCCAATTTTATAATTGATAATTATTTGTTCACCAAATTTTAATTGTTTTTTTTCCGAATTTTTTTAATTATTATAATAACTTAATTGTTTAAATTATTGTATTGTTGGTTATTTAAATCCCAATGTTAGGGTTGTTAGTTTGTCAAGTGTGTTAAATTGTTTAATAGTTTTGTATGTATGATTATGTAATTGAATTATTATTGATCCTTTTTTTCAATCTAATTAGGATATGTCGAATAATTCAGTTAATTCAAACAAGTACAACAAAACAACCAGATCTTCGACAATTCATGTTTAAACGAATGAGATCCTAAGGAATGAACCTCCTTCATTTAGCTCTCCTCAAACACAAAAGAACAATGTGGAAATAGGTGGTTCAAATACAAGTAATGTACCATCGAATGAAGAAGAGTTGGTACATGATGTTGAACTCCTTCCTCATGATCCCAGGAAAAGAATGAACATAATGGATTATCCCCCAAACCAAAGAAATGCGGTGAGAAGAGCTTATATTCTCAAAAAACCTTGCCAACCAAAAACTCATAACTTCCCTCAAAGTCAAGTATCCGGTTTGTGCCGTTTTAGTGTGAGTTGGTTTAACAAGTGGGATTGGCTTGAATATAGTATTGAGAAAGATGCCGCATTTTATTTTGTATGTTATTTGTTCAAGGGTGAAGTTGAAAGTAATATGGTGGGTGATGAATTTGTTGATGGAGGGTTTAGGAAATGGAATAAACCTGAACGATTTGAAAGGCATGTTCGGTGGGATTAAGAGTGCTCATAATCTTGCCTATGATAAGAATGTGAATTTTAGAGATTGGAAAAATAAATCAATTGTGAATGTGTTAGAAAAAGCAAGTAATGTGATTAAAAGTGAATATTATATTCGTTCGAATGCATCTTTAACTTGCTTAGGGTTTCTTTTGGCACAAGGCTTGGCATTTCGTGGGCATGATGAAAGTAATAAGTCTCATAAAAGGGGTAATTTAATTGAGCTTTTGAAATGGCTAGGAGAAAAAGTGAAGGAAGTAGGTGAACATACTCTTGAAAATGCACCCGGAAATTGTCAAATGACTTCTCCTCCGATTCAAAAATACATTATTAATTGTTGTGCAAAAGAAACAACTAAATGCATAATTGAAAAACTTGGGGATGATTACTTTGCTATATTGGCCGATGAATCAAGTGATGTGTCCCAAAAAGAGCAATTAGCTCTTGTTTGCGCTTTGTTGATAGAGATAGTGGAAAGGTAGTGAAGAGATTTTTAGGCATTGTGCATGTTGGTGATACTACCGCGTTATCTCTTAAAGATGCAATTATGTCTCTACTTGTGGAACATTCATTGAGTCCATCTATGATAAGACAACAAGGGTATGATGGGGCTAATAATATGAAGGGTGAAATAAATGGCCTTAAGACTCTAATTATGAATGATACTCCAAGATCCTACTACATACATTGTTTTGCTCATCAACTACAACTAACACTAGTTGTCGTTACTAAAAGAAATGATAGTTGTGGTTGGTTTTTTGAAATACTTGCAAACTTGTTGAATGTTGTTGGAGTTTCTTGCAAGAGAAGAGAAATGATTCGTAATAGTCAAGCTCAAGAAGTTGCTCAAGCATTGGAAGTGGGGGAAATTTTGAGTGGATCAGGTTTGAATCAAGAGCTTGGTTTGAAGAGGCCCGGAGATACTCGTTGGGGATCTCATTACAAGTGTCTTGTCAATGTCATCCGATTGTTTTCTACAATTGTTAAGGTACTTGTTCACATTGGGAAATATGGTGCATCGAAAGATAAGTTTAAAGCTCAAATTGTTTTAGGACAATTAGAGTCATTTGATTATATTTTTGTGGCTTACTTGATGTTGACTATTTTTAGTTACACTAATGATTTGTGTATTGCTTTGCAAAGAAAGGAGCAAGATATTGTAAATGCCATGGAACTAGTTATTTTTACAAAAGGTGTGTTGTAAAAAATGAGGGAACAAGGGTGGGAGACTCTCTTAAACAAGGTTACTTTATTATGCACTAAACATGGCATTGATGTTCCCACTATGGATGTTCTTTATGTTCCTCAAGGAAGATCACGACGCTTTGTCAAAAAAGCAACAAATCCACATCATTTTCAAGTTGAAATATTTTTGGGGTAATTGATTTGCATCTTCAAGAACTTGATAATCGGTTCAATGAGGTAAGCATGGAGTTACTTACTTGTATGGCTTGCTTAAGTCCTAAAGATAACTTCTCATATTTTGACAAAGAAAGGGTACTCAAACTTGCCTCTTTTTATCCTGAAGAATTTCAAGTTTTGATTTGACGACACTTGAAGGTCAACTTGATATATTCATGGAAATATGCACAATGATGAAAGATTTCAAAATTTGCGTGATCTTAACTCTCTTTCCATGATGCTTGTTAATACCAAGAAGCATAAGACATATCCTCTTGTATATTTGCTCATCAAATTGATGTTGATTCTTCCCAATGCCAAGGCAAGTGTTGAAAGAGTATTCTCCGCAATGACATATGTCAAAAGTAAGTTGCGAAATAGCATGGGTGATCAATTCATGAATGATTGTTTGGTCACTTTTATTGAGAAGGAGGTGTTCCTACAAGTTCCGGATGAAGTAATCATTGATCGTTTTCAAAATATTAAAACTCGAAGGATGCAATTGTAATTTAATATTAAACTTATGTAATTTTTTTCAATTTTTTTTTAATTGTAGGACTAATTATATATTGTGGATTTTTTAGTTGTAAATTTCTAACTATAGAATTATCTTTGTGTTTTTTTTTTTAGTATTTTTGTCAAATGTTGCGATATTTAGTTGTCGTCCCCCCGGTTATATATTTCTGGTTCCGCCACTAATTATTACTACTAATAATAGAGTTGTGTGGTGATACTAAATTGGTTAATAAATAGAAGTTATCAATATTTACCAAACTGCTCACATGAGATTAAATGTTGAACGTAATGAAAAAAAAAACCCAGAAGAAATTAGAAGAATAACCTCAAACTGTTTCGGGGTTTTTGGAGTCCCTTGGGAGAGTTACAATTTTGGGAATGCGTGCTGACTGTCTGTACCTGCAAAACCACGAAACTCCGTTTGGTGGAGTTCCGCCTCCGACGATCAAGTTAAAACGTCTCCGGATGTATAAAGTGCGGGAAGTAAATGGAATTTTCTCTCTGATTCAGAGAGAATTCTGCAATTAATATTGCTCGGTTTTTGTGTTTGTATTTATGAGTGTTTTCTGAATGAATCATAAATGAGGAGTTTTCCTTATTTATAGTAGAAGAAGATATGTTCCCCTTATTAGGGTTACAGTGCCACGTGTCAGCATCCAATTGGATCCCATTGGGCCTCTCTGGGGGGCTGACACGTGTCAGCTTGCTATTGGGCCACGTGGCTCAGGGTAATTTTACCCCAAACACAAACCATAAAATCTCTCGTTACATTTGTAAAGCTGCACTAGAGACATAATTGAGTCTATCTGGAGGTGTAATCTTTGCAGCTAAATGTAGCATGGTATTGTGTTCATCATCTGTGTAAGAAGCAATTAAGGGGGCATTTGGTATTGATATTAGAAACGAAGTGGAAAGGAAATACATAAAAGGGAGGAAAGGAATTATTTAACACTTACCTTTCCTTTTGTTTGGTTTAACCATGTTAAGGAATCACTTAACCATAGCTCCTTTTCTTTTTGTTTAAGGAAGGTAAGGGTAATGGTTACCTTAGGTTTTATAGAGGTAACAAATAGTGGAACCCATTACCCCTAGGTAATGGTTAACGCACGCAAGTTAACGCGCGCGAAAATCCTAGCCTCGCGATGGCCTAGCCAAGCGAGGGCTAGGTAGGCTAGCATAGATATCCGAGCACCTTGCCGCAAGGCAATGCTTGGCTGCAAGCCCAGCATGCATCACATTCATTGGTTGGGAAAGCTGGCCGAGCAGCCTTGCTAGCAAGGAGTGGCAGCATGCCCGAGCATGCATGCTGGCTGGCACGCCCAACAGCTAGTGCGCCAGGCACATGCTAGCACCGAGTGATAGGCGTGTCGCGTACCTAACAAAATATAACCTAACTGACCACTACTATGTAGCAGGGCAAGCAAGGGTCGAATCCCAAGAGACTAAGGTTCAAAAATAATTAAATAGACTCAAATTCCTACTAAGCAAGAATCAATAATGATCGATTAACTAAGGAACTAATGTATGGAAAATTCGAAAATAAACTAAAGAATATGAAGAAATCAAGTAATTAAAACATCCAAGATCTAGTATCACCGCAATTACGCTTGATGCAATTATATTTCTACCCCTAACATACGATTCCAATTAAACGGAGAAAAGTAAACCCTAATAAAACCAAGGACCTCTCTCGAGTATCAATGGCTTCCCTAGCATACAATCAAGCCTATTCTCATGGTATCATGCATATTAGAGACATTAAACACATTACTCTCACTACCCAATTATCAAACCCAACTACTCTCGTGTTGAATATCAAACCCTAAATTGATCTACTCAAATTCGTTTAAACCCAACTCTCGTTGTGATAGAAACAATGGAATAATCACAATACTAAAATTACGTCTAACCTAGTATTGGCATAATCACAATCAATTTAGCATAGAAATTGCAAAAGTCAATAGAGAATTTAAAGATTTAATTCATGCATCAATCATAATTGGGCTACCCTAGATCTTGGAATAGGGAATCTACTCACACATATTGAAGGAAACAATAACAAAAATAATTAAAGAAAACATAATTAAGAAACAAGAGATTAAAAGAAAATACCAAATCTTGAATTAAATTGAAGGCGGAAAGTATAAATCTTGAATCTTGAATTACAAAAGTAAAGAAAATAGAATAGAGAGAACTAGTTCTTAATAACGTAAAATAAAAGGCTAGAATAAAACTTAATCCCCAAATAAAACTTTACTTAGTGTATTTTATACTCCTAGTAAAACAAGAAAACGATTAAAAGACTTGGCGCACAATCTTCCCAAGAGGCACGGACGTGCCCCTTGCTAGGCACGGACGTGCCTCTATGGTAGAAACTTTGGATTACTTCTTTCGCGATGAGGCACGGACGTGCTTCAATGGGGCACGGACGTGCCTCCTCTGCTGCGCGTATCACTCATCATAAATCAGTCATAACTTCATATCCGGAGCTCCGTTTGAGGCGTGTAATATATCGTTAGAAAGGTCTTCAAGTCTACTTTCCAATGCAATTTGAATCACTCCATTATCATTTGTATATCAAAAGTTATAAACATAATAGTGAACAGGTGTCATATTTGTCAAGTATTTCATCAACATTTTGCTTCATTTTCACTCAATTAGCTCCGTTAATCCTGAAGGACATCAAAAACAACGAAACTACCCATAAAAGCATCGAATCATCGAAACTAAACCCAATTAAACCAAAATGGACTAAAACACTCAACTAAGCTAATAAAACCAACCAAAAATAAGCTAACAAATATGCACAAAACACGACTTATCACCGAGCTTGGTGCGTAGCAGCATTAACGCCCAACAACAAGCAGCCTGCATGTGTGTGGCTTGCTATTGCGGGCAGATGCGGCAAAGCCCAGCTAGGCAGGCCCAGCCGAGGGACTAGACGCTAGCGTGGCTACCTTGGTACCCAAGGCGAGCTGCCAGCTGTGCGCTTCTCATTGCACCGGTTATGAGGGGGTCGCCCACCCTTGGGGAGCAAGGGAAGGTGGTCCTCCCCTTGTGGTCCTCACCTACCCCCTTGCTCACCTCATGCCACTTGTTGTTTGATGATTGTTTTGGTCTTTTAATTTAATTTGGAATGAAATTAAATATTAATTTTGCTTTTATAACAACTATCCCACATTGAAAGATGATCGGAATTCTTGGGAACTATTCCCTATAAATACCAATCATATGGCATTGGGAATTTCACTTGAGTTGGTGAACTTTAGGGGATCTCTAAAAGAGAGAAAACCTTTGTTCGCAAACTCTAAGTTATTTTGGTCTAGCCTTGACTAAGTTTCGAGGTAGGAACGGTTACGGTTCGGTAGCGAGTGTGTGAGCCGTCGGAGGTTCTCGCACTTGCGAAACTTGAAACTTTCAAGTCTGAGCTCAACGGTTGAGCGAAGCACGCTACTAGGGTGAGTATTCTTTATCTCTCTTCTCTCTCTCTCTTCTCTTATGTTTATGTTTATTTTCATGCTTTTATTTATGTTGTAATTATTATGCAAGTGATCCGGTTATCGGATTTTGTTTCTGCACGGTGTCGGACACAGCAAAACCCAACAGTGTTATCAGATCATCATGCATTTAATTTTTACAACTAAAAATTAATTAAGGTTATTTAAAATGGATTTAAATTTTTGGTTTTGCTTCCTAATTAGATTAGGAGCTCGTTTTTAATTGGATTAAAATTGTATTTATGCTATTTTTGGCTTATGAACTCCGATTTTGACTCATAATTAGTGAATTTTGGGTGGAATTGACGTTATAAAACATTCTTTCCCCACGATGTGTTGATAAATGACCTTCCAGATGCCAAATCCGACCCAAAAAGTGGTTTTTGAGGGGTTTTTCTTTTTTGGCGAAATGTTTTAAATCTTTAAACCTTGATTACTTATGGCATGCAATTGTTGGATTATGTGTTTGATTATACCATTAATCTTCTGCAATTTTAACCCTCATTAGCATGTTTATGAAGTCATAATTGGTGCTTAATTGCACCTAGTACAAAACTAACCTTAAGTAACACCCAAAAAGTGTTACATAAAGTGGTAAAAGTGTTATTATAGACATTAGGTAACACTTTATTGGGGATACTTCTGCCCATGTTACCTTAGGTCTTATGTAACACTTTAGGTGTTGTATGGTAACACTTTCGAAAGTGATACTATAAACCCTCTTATGTAACACTTTTTATATTATCAGTGTTAATTTTAAAGTGTTACTTTTTATTTCTTAGGTAACACTTGTGTTCAGTAACGTTTTTCAATCATATAGTAACACTTTATCCGACATTGTGTATCACTTTTCGAACAAATGTAACACCTTGTTGATTATTAGGTAACATTTTTCAATCATTTTTTTTATACATTGTAGCACTTTATTTGATATTATGTATCACTTTTTGCAAACTAATGTAACACCTTATAGGTAACATTTATTATTATTTACAATATGCAACTTTTTTTCTTTTTCTTAAATATAAAAATAATATTAACATGTACAACAACCATGAATGTCAAATTAACACGTATAATAGACAATAATTTGAATTCATGAAATTTCATAGTTTCTTTAAAAAGAATCCATAAACACAATTTTTTGCTTGCCTAAACAATTTAATAAACAAAACAAAAAAGAAAGTGAACCTTGGTCTCTAGCTTGACCACCAAATTCACAAACATGTTAAGCAAGATAATTAAAAATAAAAAAGTCGGCGTGGTAGTAAATAGACAGCAGTAGCAGCAACTAGTAGTAACGGATAACAGTAGCTAATAGTAGCAGCTTGCAGTAACGGCAGTCAGCAATACTAGGCTAGAAGTAACAGCAACTAGCAACAACTTGAAGTAACATTAGTCAACCGTACGAGGCCAACAGGCAGCAGTAGCAACAAACATAAGCAGCAGCAGGCATCAATAATAGCAGTAGATGTCAGTACCAACAGCAACAATAACAGTAACATTGGTAGCTACATATATGCAAGCATGTTTTTGTGGCCCTGTAGCATGGCGAAAGTATTTCTTTCCATCGTCTTCGAACTTCCAATGCTCTAACTCATGGTATCTCACTCCCTTGTTCATAAATGGAAGAGCATCAGTAAATATAATGAGAATTGAAAAAGTATAAACTGATAGTCTAAGAGTAAATGAAATGTACTTTTGAGCAGGACATGACCATGTTTCTTACAACCTAAGTAAACTCGAGGCTTTGAACAATGCCTAATCAGGGTTGTTCTTAATTAAAGTTGCTGCAATTTATTACAGAAAGATACGCCCAGGATGATAGCACTCTCTGAAAAATAGGAAGATCTGCTTAAATAAAAGATGCGAGTGTAAAAAAAAGCATCCAAGCAATTTTTTTATTAGAAAGGATAACTGTCATCTATATGCATAATTTCCAAAGTCATGGACATTAGAGCGATGATCGCAAGTTATAACTTAAAGTCTGTATCATGTCCTGAAAGTTGTAGCAGCTATTATTACTCAAGCCTTTAAGCAAATAACAACCAACATCCCCCCCCCCCCCCCCCCACACACCCCCCCAAAAAAACTACAGGTCCAGTGCACCTTGTTAATGAATTATTAAGTTTTAACCAGAACACAAGCAGTCCAAATCATCATTATTTGATGATTCTTTACCAAAATTCTTGTACAATGGAATCACAATTAATGACACTATACAATAGCACTAAAATATGAATTAAGCTTTAATTTAATGCTAAAAGCTACACAAAGTTTGATATTATTGGGCAGGTCATGGTATTCATCGGTAGAGGTTTGGAAATCAAATCAAATAGATACATTTATTAGAAGATTTTTGCAGAACTTGGCATCAGTAATTACGACATTGAGGTAAACACCATGCCATACAAGAAAATGAAATGGATCTACCTAGGTTCAGCAGGTAAAGAAACAAGAAAATAGTAAAATACAGAAATGGGAAGCACTTGCTTATTTTATGGCTAAGGAAGCCCAAGTCCTCATTTTTTTCACCCTTTATTGACCAATCCCTCAAATAATATCAAGTTAAACCCGTATATTTAAACATTATAAGAATTGTCATTAGATCGGCCAAGGAAATATACACTTAAGTGATATGTGCAAATTCAGTTCTTTTCACATGCTCGCACACTCTCAGGCTCTCAGCATAGGTGAACATTATACAAAACTGATGAGTGTCATTTATGGTACTCAAATGGCGCATCACTGACACAGTGACACCTATTGACTCATGCGTCCACAATAACTCTAATAATCAGCAACATCACAGTAATCCTATATGATTTAGCTACTATCTAGAGTACTATTACACATGATGATCATATGGACAAAACAAAAAGGTGGCTCTTAAAACTAAGATGAACAGGAAAGACACACTAATATAGTGAGATTTAGATAAATCACATGCCTTGCTAGCACTAAATTAATGCATATTTTAATGACTCATTCAAACTTTATTAATTGCATAACTCTTATGAGTACCACTTTACAGTAAAGTAAGACTATCATGCTAATTTGCTAGTCCTTGTACAACCGAGAGCTTGACTAGAAGTAACTGATAATGTAGCCATGAGAAAGAGATAAAAAGAGTATTAAAACTGAGTTTTCTGACTGAAGTAGAAGCTAAACTCATCTGACACCTTAAATCCGAAAAAAAAAAATCAAGCAAAATCCAGAAAAAAAAGAACGAATTACAGAAAATTAGCCAAATAATTATCTTAATCCGCGCAAAATTAAAGCTTGGAAAATGCAGCAACTGACGCAAATATCACACATTTCTTACAAAAGTAACAACTAATAAGAAAAGTGTCGGGATAATGAAAAATAAAAATCCAATTCCAAAATTAGAGCTTAAGAAAATAATAAATCAATAAATTAATAACCTTGTTAGAAGTGGTGGTTTTGGCTGTACCAGAAATAGCAGCAGTAGCTTGAATATCAAACACCATTCTTCTGATTATAACTGGTATTGCCCTAGATTTCTGCATCTCTTTCGCCCACAATTACTTGGATTCTCGACAAGCTTATGAGGAATCAATTCAGAAAAGAAAATAATTAAGTTAAATTAGACAGATTAGTCAACAAAGACCAAATTACAAGGTAAAAAAAAATCCGCAACAATCGAAAAGAAGAAAAAACAAAAATCCCAAACTCATCTAAATACTTCGACCAATTCAGATGCATGCAAATTTCAGTATGAATATAGTGAAATAAAACATTTTAATAGGCAAATTCAACATCAAATTAAGAAATTATCAATAAGATTTGTAAGGGGGAATTGAAACCCTAACTTTAACTAGCTCAAATTCTTGTTGATAATGAAAAGGAGAGGGACCTAAACTTATCTTAACCCTAACTTAAAGGTGGAAGCCGCCGAGGATGGAGGCCCGGAGGTGGCAATCGCTGGCACAGGCTGTTACGACGGAGGGAGGTTACGGTGGACGGAGGCTACAGTGGAGCACCGAGAGTGAGAAGGGGGTAGCGGTGGAAGAGACAGTGAAAGCTTGAGGGACGGAGAAATATGAGTGAGGAAGAAAGTTGTGAGGTTGTGACTGAGGGTTTATTTTAATAAAAATATTTGATAAAAATAACCAAAAAGAGATTGAGAATATCAAATTAAGTGTTTTTCTTCAAAAAAAAAAATAAATTAAATTAAATTAAATTAATGTTACAACCAAATGCTACCTTATATCAAAGTGTTACCATAAAGTGTTACCGAAAAATGTTACTTAATACCACAATGTTACAAAAGTGTTACATATAAATCAAACAATCATAAAATTTTTAAAGTGTTACTAATGGGTGTTACTTAAGCCTAACTTTGTAGTAGTGTTGGTTAGCTCTTATTTTCACATAAACTTGAAATTTCACATTTTTGCAAATTAATTGCTTGAAATGTTTATGGTGAATATGTATTTTTGAAACCCCTAAAATGTTAAAAATTTAATCTTTTATTGTTTATTTGGTTGGATCTTAACTTTGTAAAATCCATAATGAACAAATTTTTGGTTTTAATCATTTTTTAGTTGATTAAAATCTCTAAATGTTAATACTTGTGCTTAAAAATTATTGTTCTTCATATCAGAAAATTACAATATTCAATGTGCACAATGAGTGTTGAATAAAATTTATCATTAGATGAATGATTATTTATTCAACTATTTTGTCAAATCTCATTATTAATTTATGTTGGTTAAATTAATTGTGAGAATAGCACCTCAATTTTTGTAGCATCAAGTTGAGCCAAAAATAATTTAAAGAATGGTTCTTGAATTAATTTTGGTTTGTGCACTAAAAAATGAATTTATTTAAGTTGGACTCGTTTTATTTTCATATTGCTCAATATTAGTTCTAAAAATAATTTAGAATTAATTTTTATGTCACACACAAAATCGGAATAAAATTCCAAAGCACAAGCATGTAAAACGAGGCACCAAGCCTCGAGCACCACCCTCGGCTAGTAGAGCTGCTTGAGCAGTCCACATGTGGCTGTCGAGGGAGGGCACCATGCTGGTGCGTGTGTGCATGCGAGCAGCAGCAGCTTGGTGCGGAGATGTGCGCGCGTGTGGTGCGAGGTTGCTGCTGCTAGGCAGTGTGCAGCTCGCACAGCGTAGCTTGTGCCAGCACGAGCATGTGTGCAAGCACGTGGCTAGCGCCAGCGTAACGCAAGCTACTACGCTGTCAGTGACTAGCAGGTCGCTTAACGCTGCTGTGCTTGTGCGGGCAGCACCCACACATGGTTGTCGGGGCCTTGGTGCCTAGCAAGCCGAGCCTCGTGGCTTGGATGCTAGGCACTCTGGCGTTTGAAGGGCTGTGATTTTGCAATTTTGCGTTTTTTTTAAAAGTGAAACGAGGCTAGGCCTTAGTTTTTCCCAGCATTTGCAAAATAATATGGCAAAATTTTTGGTTAACCGGCTTAATTAATTTTAATTGGATTAATTTTAATTAAGTTAGATGTGGAATTTAGTGGGAGCATCATTAATCATTTTGAGCTATTATTATTGCGTTAATTTACATAATTACAACATTGACTAGTTTTAATTAGGCGTGTTAATTGGATTAAGCACCTAAGTTAGAAACTAGGTTTGCGCTCGTTTTGGATTGTTGCTTGAAATATTTATAAAATGCATGGGCCATTCACGTTAGTGAATGGATGAATGGAATAGATATTCTAATGCAGATTTTACAAAATGGCAACTAGTGGGGCCCGACCAAGATAGTAAATACGACTGCGTTCCATTTTGTATTTTTGTAAATCTAAATACGGACTGTGTGCCGTTAAGTATTTTCGTACTTAAAATTATTTAGATTAATCTTAAATTTTCTAGTAGTTGCATAATTGTTGGTGATGTCTCGAAGACGGCGTTTCTAAGAAAACGAAGCCAAGAAGATGCAACGAAGGCCCTTGAAGGTTTGAAGACTCAAGTTTCAAGGGGTCATGCTAGTTGCCAAATGCATCTTTATTTTGCCATATATATTTTGTTTATATATATATAATTGCGATATTAGATGCATGTTTAGGATTTCAAATGTTGAATTATTGTTATAGTTAGCTTAAATCAACCAACATAGAAACCCTAAGTCCAAAAGAATATTGAGTTAAATTTGTCATTCCAAAATGACATTTACGGAACTTATGAGAATAGTAATGGGCTATGCCAAAGCAAGGCATTACTACTTTCCTAGGGAAGTAAGGTATGTTGGTGAGCTTGCCAAAGCAAGGCATCATATACACGTTAGTCTTAGTTAAACTCAACGATATTAGTAAGGAGTCCTTAGAAGTCGTGGCAATGGAGATAAATGTCAAGAAAGCATTAGATGCGACATTTTGTCGAACCAAGAGTAGGTAGCTTAGAGCTATTAGCAATTGGATTGTTTACCTAAAAATATTAAGTGTTAAGACAAGTCAAAGCATGCTTAATCACTTTTGATTTTTGAGGTCTTGGAATTGTTTTATTCTCGCCTAAAGGGACAATTTTAAATGTGTGGATAAAACGCTTAATAAGATTAAACTTTTGCATGTATGCTTTCAATTTCAAACTTATTGGTTTTATGAATGATTTTTCATTGCAAATTCTTTTAATTGTAGAAATATGTCTACAACTAACACCAACAACAAGCAGTTTTCACTCCGTTCTACTCTCGATAAAGAGAAAGTGAACGGGACAAACTTCCTTGATTGGCAAAGGAACTTGCGTATAGTTCTCATGCAAGAGAAAAAGTAATACGTTCTTGATGAAGAAATGCCCGACGCTCCTAATGAGGAGGTCACTTAGGCTGCCCTAAACCGATGGCATGCTACCAATCGGGATGTCAAATGCATCATGTTGGCCACAATATCTCCGGTTCTCCAAAAGACCTTCTTTGGAAAGGAGATGGCTTTTGAGATCATTTCTAAACTTCAGAATATGTTCCAAGAGCAGGCCCGAACTGAGCAGTTTGAGATCCATTAGCAAATCCTTGAGAGCAAGCTTAAGAAAGGAGAGCCAGTCAGCCCACATGTTGAAACAAGCTGAGCAAACGCTAAAGGATGAGGAGAAGCATGATATGCTTATGGTCAAGAAGGGCAAGCAATTCTAGCGCTCGGGCAAGAAAAAAGCCTTCAAGGGGAAGGGTAAGAAGACCTTTCCGCCTAAGTCAAAGGCTACCAAGGGCAACAAGGAAAAGAAGGTAGCCTCTTCTTAATCCGATTTCGAATCTTTCTACTGCAAGAAGAAGGGACATTGGAAACGGGATTGCCTCAAATGTAAGGAGGATAAGAAGAACGGCACCATTGCTTCTTGATCAGGTATATATGTTATAGACCTTAACTTTACTAGCAAAGCTTCATGGGTATTAGATACCGGATGTGGCTCACACCTTTGTTCTAATGCTCAGGGACTAAGGAAAAGTAGAAGGCTAGTGAAGGGAGAAGTGGAACTTCTGGTCAGCAATGGAGCAAGGATTGCGGCTGTATCCGTTGGGACACTCAGTTTGTCTTTGCCCTCTGGGTTGTTTTAGAACTTGAAGATTGTTATCATGTTCCAAACATTACCAAAAACATTATTTCAATTTTGGCATTGGACGCCAAGGGTTTTGAATTTGGGATAAAAGACAATAGTTGCTCATTTTATCTTGATAATGTTTTACATGGTACGACACATTCAGAAAATGGTCTTTATGTGCTTTCACTAGACAAACAGGTTTATAATGTTAATGATACCCTCAAAAGAGCTAAGACCGTTGAGTCGAATCAAACCTACTTGTGGCATTGTTGTCTAGGCCATATTAACATCAAACTCATCAAGAAACTTCTTCATGAAAGGATTCTTGATTCATTCAACTTAGAGTCGTTTGAAAACTGCGAAGGATTCTTACAAGGCAATATGATAAAGTAGTCGTTCTCCAAGTTGGGAGAAAGGGCTAGTGACTTATTAGGTCTTATACACACGGATGTATGTGGACCGATGAGCACAACCGCAAGAAATGGTTATCGCTATTTTATCACATTCACGGACAACTTTAGTAGATATGGCTATGTCTACCTTATGTCTTACAAATCTGAATCTTTTGTGAAATTCAAAGAATTTTAGAGTGAAATGGAAATTCATCTTGTTAAGAAAATTAAAACACTTCGATCGGATTGAGGTGGCGAGTATTTAAGCTACGAATTCGACGATAATCTAAAAGAACATGGAATTCTCTCATAACTGAAACCTCCCCGGACTTCCCAATGGAACGGAGTTTCCAAGAGGAGAAATCGAACTCTTTTAAACATGGTTCGATCAATGATGGGTCTTAGTCATCTTCCTATCTTTTTCTAGGGACATGCACTTCTAACTGCGGCACTTACACTGAACCGCGCTCAGTCAAAAGCTGTCAAAAAGACTTCATATGAATTATGGACTAAGAAACCTCCACGGTTGTCTTTTCTTAACATTTAGGGTTGCGAAGCATATGTCAAAAGACTCATATTTGACAATCTTGCACCAAAATCTGATAAGTGTTTTTTTGTAGGATATCCAAAAGAAACAAAGGGGTATTACTTCTACAACCAATCTGAGAACAAAATATTTGTTGCTGAAGATGGTGTCTTTTTGGAAAAGGAGCATCTTTCCAAAATGACAAGTGGGAGGAAAATCGAACTTGATGAAGTCCGAGAAGGTGAGCAACAAAGTCAAACTGACAAAACTGACAATCAAAGTGCTTTGGAAGCAATTGTTGAAAATGGTCAGTCAAAATGACAAAGCAAATGCTCAATCTATTACCCTGCATGCGTAGGTCGCAAAGACCAAGATCTTAACCAGATAGATACTTCGGTGTTATCTTAATCGAGAATCAAGACATCCTAGTTGCGGATGAAAATGAGCCAACGACATACAAACAAGCTATGACGAGCCCCAACTCTGCAAAATGGCAAGAAGCCATGAAATCCGAGATGGACTCCATGTTTGAAAATCATGTTTGGGATTTGGTTAATTTGCCCGAAGGTTACACACCTATTGGTTGCAAATGGATTTTTAAGTTGAAAACCAACAAAGATGGAAATGTATACATATATAAAGCTAGATTGGTGG